TTCCCAGGCCAGCCGGGATCATCGTCCCTCCAGCAGGTCACGGTCTTCCTGTCCTTCCTGTCCTTCCTGTCCCCTGTGGGACCTGAACTCCTCACAGGGAGCCTCCATCCTGACCAGGAGCCTGAGCCTCAGCTGGTTCCTCTCCAGGTGGAGGAGCGGCGGCTCCTCTCCTCTCCGGGTGGAGGAGCGGCGGCTCCTCTCCTCTCCGGGTGGAGGAGCGGCGGCTCCTCTCCTCTCCAGGTGGAGGAGCGGCGGCTCCTCTCCTCTCCAGGTGGAGGAGCGGCGGCTCCTCTCCTCTCCAGGTGGAGGAGCGGCGGCTCCTCTCTGAGCTTCTCTCTGAGGGAGAGCCCAGCCACCCGGTGGAGGAAACCCATCTGGGCCGCTTGTATCCATGACCTGGTTCTCTCTGCCGTGACCCAAAGCTCATGATGGTCGGAACGTAGATCGACTGATGAATCGAGAGCTTCGCTTTCTGGCTCGGCTCTCTTCACCAGGACGGACCGGTCCGGCGCCGGTCCGCCTGTCGATCTCCCTTCCCTCCTTCCCTCATTCATGAACCAGATCCTTGACCTCGACCACTTGGGGCAGGACACGCCCAGTTTTAGATTTGAATCTAAAATTAATTTCAATGTTTAATCTCTGCTCTGATTTGCAATGATTCATGGTGTTCCGGTCCGGTTCTGCTGAAATCTGACTCATTTGTCAGTCGACTCTTCCTGCCTGCTTTTATTGATCCAGACTTCTAGAACCCGACAATCCTGCAGCCAATTGGCTCAGATTCACTGTTTCCTCCAGAGGAGGTGCTGCTCCTGCTGCTGCTGCTGCTGCTGCTGCTGCTGCTGCTGCTGCTGCTGCTGCTGCTGCTGCTGCTGCTGCTGCTGCTCCTGCTGCTGCTGCTGCTGCTGCTGCTGCTCCTGCTGCTGCTGCTGCTGCTGCTGCTGCTGCTGCTGCTGCTGCTGCTACTGCTGCTGCTGCTGCTGCTGCTCCTGCTGCTGCTGCTCCTGCTGCTGCTGCTGCTGCTGCTACTGCTGCTGCTGCTGCTGCTCCTGCTGCTGCTGCTCCTGCTGCTGCTGCTGCTGCTTCTGCTGCTGCTGCTGCTGCTGCTGCTCCTGCTGCTGCTCCTGCTGCTGCTGCTGCTGCTCCTGCTGCTGCTTCTGCTGCTGCTGCTGCTGCTGCTGCTCCTGCTGCTGCTCCTGCTGCTGCTGCTGCTGCTCCTGCTGCTGCTCCTGCTGCTGCTGCTGCTGCTGCTGCTGCTCCTGCTGCTGCTGCTCCTGCTGCTGCTCCTGCTGCTGCTGCTCCTGCTGCTGCTGCTGCTGCTGCTGCTGCTCCTGCTGCTGCTGCTGCTCCTGCTGCTGCTGCTGCTTCTGCTGCTGCTGCTGCTGCTCCTGCTGCTGCTGCTGCTGCTGCTGCTGCTCCTGCTGCTGCTGCTGCTCCTGCTGCTGCTGCTGCTTCTGCTCCTGCTGCTGCTGCTGCTGCTTCTGCTGCTGCTGCTGCTGCTCCTGCTGCTGCTCCTGCTGCTGCTGCTGCTGCTGCTGCTGCTCCTGCTGCTGCTGCTGCTCCTGCTGCTGCTGCTCCTGCTGCTGCTCCTGCTGCTCCTGCTGCTGCTGCTGCTGCTGCTCCTGCTGCTGCTGCTGCTGCTGCTGCTCCTGCTGCTGCTGCTGCTGCTGCTGCTGCTCCTGCTGCTGCTGCTGCTCCTGCTGCTGCTGCTGCTGCTTCTGCTGCTGCTGCTGCTGCTGCTGCTCCTGCTGCTGCTCCTGCTGCTGCTGCTGCTGCTCCTGCTGCTGCTCCTGCTGCTCCTGCTGCTGCTGCTGCTGCTGCTCCTGCTGCTGCTGCTGCTGCTGCTGCTGCTGCTGCTGCTGCTGCTGCTGCTGCTGCTGCTGCTGCTGCTGCTGCTGCTGCTTCTGCTGCTGCGTCACGTTCCCAGGAATGCAGCGAGATTCCTATCATGACGCTCTGTGTGTTGAAACTTGTCCTGCTGGGAGCCGGCGGCCTGGACGAGACAAGTCCTGCTGCAGAACCAGAACCAGAACCAAAACCCGGCGCTTTACCTCTGTTTAGAAACCAAAGACAGAAATCTATTTTCACTTTCATTGTCTTCGTATCAGATGCAGATGACCTGTGACCTTTGACCTGTGACCTGTAAACTTGTATCTGTAGCTGGTTGATGGTTTGCTAACGATATAAATAGATACATAGAAAATCACTGGTGTGCAAAATGAATGAAGATAAATAAAAACTGATGGACAATCTGCTGCCTTTACAAACATAAATTATACAGAAGTCAAATAATATCTGAAAATTTAAAAAATGCAAAAAATGTGTCCAAATATAAACAACAAATCATCCTGGACCAGACTAGAAAGAATCTGTCTGAGAAAATGTTGCATCCTCAACTTTTTGCTCTTTTTGAGGCATTAAAAATGTAAATGTCTGAAAAGCAGCAGGGAGCAAAACGTCCATACAGAGATGAAAGATTGGGTTTATTTGTGTTCTTGCTAACTAGCTTAGCCTGACATATTGGTGGATTAGCCAGTCGTTGGTTAGCTGGTAACTGCAAAGTCTTGTTTTCTGCACAGCGTCACCAAAACATCAGATTCTGTTCCTGGTTTCCTCTGATTGTTCTGATCATTTCTCATCACTTCCAGTCGTTTCTCAATCAGTTCAAACATCCAAATCTTCAGCCCGTCATTTAGATTTAAAGCTCCCTCTCCTCTCCTGCATCACTGACATCATCGCTGACATCATCACTGACATCATCACTGACATCATCGCTGACATCATCGCTGACATCATACATCCATCGTTTACTGCTGCTGCTGCTAAACCTTGTTTAGATCCCCATAAAAAAACTCCATAATTTTCATCCCATCTCAAATCTTTCATTTGTTTCCAAACTTCTTGAAAGAAAAGTTGCTGCCCAACTTCATTCTCATCTCCTGCAACAATTAAAGGACCAAATCCAATCTGGTTTCCATCCACAGAACCGAATCAGCGTTTCTTAATCGGGCTGATTCTGGTTTGTTATCCAAACTCCTCCTACTGGATCCGACTGGCCAGTTCACCTCTGACCTGGTTTCACTGGTTCCTCTCAGGCTGAACTCAGGCTGCTCATTCGCCTGTCATCCTGTCCCGTTCCCTCAGGTGTTCCCCAGGGCTCTGTCCTGGGACCCTCACTGTTTATCATTGGTTATATTTTTCATAAAGCTGAAAAATGTTCATGTTCACTGTGCAGAGACTCCCAGCTCTGTCTGCTTCCACTTCCATCTCTTGTTGAAATAAAACATTAGTTCACCCTTAACTTTCTTAAATGAAACTGAAATAAAACTGAACTTCTCTTGCTTGGTACTTAATCAACACTAAGTAAACTTGATACGTTTTTTTCCCTCCCGGCGTTTTGGGGAAACTGCAGTCGGCCATTTTACAGCAGCGCTGTGGACTGAACTCCTTCTGACAGCGTTTCAGGAACTGTGTGCTGTCAGGAAACCCACCATCCTCCCACTACTTCCTGTGTCTCTTCGTGGTTTTCGCCAGTAGCAACATCCGGCTAACAATCATGTGACTCGTGTGACGTGAAAAAACTCGAAGTTTGGCTGAAAAAAGCAAATTCATGTTTGTCAACCTGGTCAATTTTTTCAAAGGAATCGCATATTATTATTATTATTATTATTATTATTATTACTATTATTATTATTACTATTATTATTATTATTATTACTATTATTATTATTATTATTATTACTATTATTATTATTATTATTACTATTATTATTATTATTACTATTATTATTATTATTATTATTATTATTATTATTTTTTTATTATTATTATTATTATTATTATTATTATTATTATTTATTATTATTATTATTATTATTATTATTATTATATATTATTATTAATATTATTATTATATATTATTATTATTATTATTATTATTATTTATTATTATTATTATTATTATTGTTATTATTATTATTTATATATTTATTATTATTACTATTATTATTATTATTGCGCACACACACACACACACACAGAGACACACACACATTCTCCACAGCGCTGCTGAGTGTTTGTTCTTATGGTGAATTGCATTAAGTATTAGACAGTATTGACATTCAGATCCTCTGATAAATGAACACAAAGACATCAATAATGTCCAGATTAGTCATTCATTTCTTCTCTCATTTTCACTCAGCTTGAATTTACCTGGAGCTTTCTTGCAGCGTGTGTTACTGTAAACGTCTGCCAGCTCTGGTTTCCTCTGCAGGTGGGTGGGTGGCAGGTCTCTGCAGGTGGGTGGGTGGCAGGTCTCTGCAGGTGGGGCTTTGGACACTTCTGGGCCTGGAAGTCGGTCGATGTGATGAAAGTTTTTCTTTAGAAAAACATTCAGAAATTCCTCTGAGTTTTTATGATGAATTCACTCCCACCACTTGCACTGTGGGAAATATGTCTTACTTCATGAGCTGATGATCGAATGCAATAAATCACTGAAAAAAAAAGCAGTTTTTTACGTTCAAGCTTCCACAAAACAAGGTTCAAATAAACTTAATCATAAATAGAAACAATCAATATAAATGAAAAAATACTTTTTTTCTGGTTTTTCATCCCCGGAACCAGAACATCCAGAAAACTCCAAAACTGCTGAAACGTTGAGTCTTTCAAAGTGGACATATAGTATCCATGTCAGGCAGCTTTAAGGAGAAATCAGTTTCGTCTGTAACTACGTCACAGATTTCTAATTTTAGCTCGACAGCTTCATTTTCTTGATTCTGACTGATAATATCTGCATTCAATTTCTGACGAGCAGGAAGAATAATTCAATAAATACAATGAAGCCGTTTATGTAATAGTGATATTCAAAACATGCAGAACATGGTTATGACATTAAGGAGGTAAAAGTTAGCACACATGCTAACATTAGCAGAATGCTACTGCTAGCAAAACAGCCTGGATGTCATATCAATATATTGTGAGGGTTAATATAACCAGAAACCAAATATTTTTACTTGTTTATTTGTAACTTTGGCAACATTTAACTTGGAGTAAAAAAAATGCTGAGAAAAAGAATGGATTCATGAAACAAGCAGTAAATTTGTTGAGCAAACTGAAGAGTGGAGATTAAAACCTGTAAGAGAGGAGCTGGATTTACTGATCCTCAAGGCTCCAGTACAAAACAAAATGATGCCTGAAAGTAAGAAAACCTTAAAATTAACGTTCAAAAACGAGTTTGCTTAGAGCTGCCTCTGATAAATAATAAATAAATCAATAACTTTAGTCTGTTTTCAACATTTAATCAATTTCCTTTGTCTTGCCAACTCAACATAAATCCTTTTCTTGTTGTTGCGTCAGCTTGTTGCTGAAATGTGCTTTAAAAAAACAACCATTTTAAGCTGTTTCCTTCATGTTCTGCTGCTCAGAAGGTTCGACTGGATCCTCTGCAGAACCAAACCTGAACCAATGTTTCTGATAATCACTTTTCACTTCAAACACGGAACCAGAGGGGAGTGGAGGGAGAGCAGCTGAACTTTGAGTCACTGATTGATAAGACACAAATGTCTGGTTTTGATGAAACACCCTGGAAACAGCCGCAGCTGAGATCAAAAATGTTTTTGCAGTTTTTTAACTCTGGAGTGTCGAGATGTTTGAGTCTCCATGAAAACTGAAAAACTGGATGTTTTTTACTCCATCAAAACGATGAAACAAGCATCACCTCCTGCAGCTTCTTGAGCGGTGGGAAGCATAAAAACATCTTTTCATTTTAACAACTCACATAATCAAACCAAAATATAAAGTGATGAGAAAATGTTGAAATCTTAAAAACCAGATTGACAATAATTTACATAAATAACAAGAAAATAACAAAACTCAAGATAGAAAAACATTTTTTCCAAATCTGTTTCTTTCAACATAAAACTAATGAAACTTGAAACCTGCAGGTGAGAATCTGATCTGATGGATGTTTGGCTGAAACTCGAGGCGCCGTTTGCAAAGTTACACTAAAAAACTTGGTTTATTTTTAGTCTGTTAGAGAGAAAAGAAATGCGGGTGTTCGTTTTTTAAAGTTATATATCAGTCATATTATTCCAGACTAAATATTTAATTCACAAGCTAGATATTTAGTTTACTTTCAAAACTAAATATTTAGTAATCAAATTAAATATTTTGTTTGGAAACAGCAAAATATTGTTTCCAAACAACAACTAAATGTTTTATTCTCTGCTAAATATTTATCTTTAAGTTAAATATTTATTTTTATAACAACAGATTAAGCATGGCGAAAATAAACTTGATGTGTAATTTTACAAATGGTGCCCATGAAGATGAGTTTGTTCTTCATTCAGTGACGTGACTCACAGCGAAGGATCCAGTTTAACTCAACCAAGAGTATCGGCCTACTTTATAATGATACTTCATATCGATACTTTATAATGATACTTCATATCGATACTTTATAATGAAACTGCTCATGTGAAAGTGAAAAGTATAGAGTTGTAAAAATACTCCTAAAAGTACCAGTGAATGTAACTAGCAGCAGGTGATCCAGGCCCCGCCCAGAACTCCCAGCATGCTGAGCGGCAGCAGCGGCGGCTGCGGTCCCGCTGGTCCTGCAGCGGCGGCGGGCAGCAGGTGGACGCCCTGCCCGCCGCCGGTCATGCTGAGGGCGTCCTGCAGGGCGCTCACCGCGGCTCCGCTGGAGTTCATGTCTCCGCTGGCGGTCAGGTCGAACACGCATGCGTGGTAGTAGACGTCCCGGGCGGGAAGCAGCGCGGCGCAGTGAGCCTCCGCGGCGCCGGCGGCCTGCGGCGGCGGGCGCAGGGCGTCCACTCTGTGGGAGGCGGGGCAGCCCCACACGCACAGCTGCAGGTCGTGGTCCGGGTGGAAGGCCTCCAGGACGCCGCGGGGCGAGCGGACGGACAGGCCGAGCGAGCGGCCGCTCTGTCGCACCACCAACAACGTCCCGATGTACGCCGCCCGGATCTCGGCGTGCCGGCCGGGACTGTCGGTCCGCACCGTCAGGACGCGGCGGCCTCGCCGCTCGCCGCTCCACTGAGAGCCGTCGGCGAAGGCGGCGGGAACGTCGTCCAGCTCCGCCTGGTACAGCTGCTGGTCGGTGCACTGCCGCCAGCTCTTAAAGATGATGGTGATCTGAGGCGGCAAGAATATTTAGTTAAGCTTAACTAAAAGAACTGAACTAAATATTTCAGTCCAACTGAATTAAATATTTATCTTTATTAAATATTAAATATTTATCTTCATTAGTCTGAGGACCACTGAGCTAAATGTTGCTTTATTGGAAGCTAAACTGATAGCTCAATTTTAACAGAGCTAATATTTTATCTCCAAGACAAATGTTTAGTTAGAAAGCTAAATAATTAGTTTGAAGCTAAATGTTTTCAGATTTAGCTCCATTCTAAGTATTAAGTTACAATTGAAAGACTTTCGACTGTAACTTTAAAACACAGATGGTGACGCTACCAGAGCAGCAGCCAATCATCTGCCAGCAGAGAAGCAGAAAGTGAAATCTGTCCGCTGACCTTTGACCCACCTTGGTGACGACAGTGTGGTACGTCCCGTGACTGGCTGGCGTGCTGGTGACCTGCACATACAGGTAGTCGTTGTCGATGAGAGGCCACGCCCCCTGAACTGCACAGGTGTGGAAGTCATCGCTGAAGGTTCGGATGTGCGGGTCTCCGAACACGCTGCAGTGCCGGTACTCTGGCGGGCGGCCCTCCCTGCGGACGAAGCTCCGCTCGTAGAGGCAGGCGTCCCCCGACACGGCGGCCTGTGGGCGGGGCCAAGGCCGGGCCGTGGGCCCCGCCCGCGGGCAGCGGTGCTGGATCAGCAGGTCCTCGATGCCCTGCACCGCCGAGTGGTAGGCCAGGTCTCCGCGGCACGGCCGCGCCGTCCGCTTGGTGCACTGGCTGTAGGAGCGCAGGGCGCTGCAGTACGCAGAGTCGCTGCTGAGCGCCGCGCCGCCGCCGCCGCTCAGGTGGACGGTCGCAGCAACAAAGTCAGAGTTACACCTCAGGATGCGACAGGAAGCTCCCACTGAGGAGAGAAGGCTTCATATGGTCATAAAGTCAGGTTTTAATCTGGGCTTTTATTTTGAAAAAGATGCTGGAAATAAATCCACAGATTTCATAAATCAAGATTCAGACCGACAGTCTGGTGGAAGTGTGAAGGACTGCAGAGAAACTAAACGCTGCATCAATTCACTGAGTCTTGAAATAAACATTTGATTCGTCACGTCTTTTATTTAAAGAAACAGAAGCTAATTTGTCAGAAAGCATTTTTTAGCATAAAGTTGCTCGATTTATTGTTGTCACCTTTTTGAACAAATAGTGAAACTCGTGGCTTTTTTAATGAAGTCACCGATTTACTGTCACTAGTTACATTTTGGAAAAAAGTTGCTACGTTTGTTGGTTTTTTGAAAAAAGAAGTTGTTAGATTTTTTTGCAATTTGGTTTTTGAAATAAAAAATAGTAAAATTCATCACTGGTTCTTTTTTAAGGAATGTTGGCTGCAGTCCTTTCTCTCTCCCTGGCCACGCCCCTTCCAACAACCTCCAATCAAAGCCAGTCTTGGCCACGCCCCTCCGTGTCTCTTGGCTCCGCCCACTTTGGGGGGGTTATTCTACATTTGGGGGCGGGGCTTCACTTTCCCAGTGAGTTTCTGAGTTTGTACCTTCAGGTAAACGCAGCTGGACCAGCAGCAGAGTCAGGTGGATGCAACGTTTCCATGGCAACCGCGTCTCCATCGGCAGCAAGCAGCGGCCTGAGAGGTCACAGAGAGGTCACAGAGAGGTCACACATTCAGCTGTGAGTCCCTGTGGTCATCAGAGGCTCCCGTCTCCATGGAGACGCAGATGGATTCATGGGATGGATCAAACATCCCATAGTTGATTTACTAGTGACTGATGAGTATCATCATCACTCGTCATTAACTGATGACTGAGGGAAAAAAACTGAAACTACTTTTCAGATTCACTATTTTTCAGATTCAGATTTTTTTCTAAGTTTGAAATCTTTTTTTTTTTTTTCAATTTCAACATTTTTTTTCGTTTGAACAAATTTATGGCCCCATTGTTGCTCCATAATCATCTGGCTCTGAGCCTCTGTGTATTTTGATGTGGACTTTAAACCGATTCCACCAAACTGCTGCTTGCAGGGGGCGGAGCTTAGCGCAACACTCTGCTGCCATTGGTTAAACCAGTGGGTCTCCCAGTGGAGCGTTCAACCAGAGATAAACTTTTACACATATTTAGTGTTTAAGCTCCACTAAAGTTTATTTCACACTTCAGGTGCAACAAACAAACTAAAATCTTTACAGTGAAACAATTTGTTCATTCATTCATACTGCTTCCCCCGCCCCTGCAATAGCACTGCGTCCCCCCAGGGGCCGCGCCCCACACTTTGGGAACCACTGGGATAAACCATCAAACACAAAGCCAGAGTACGGCAAGCCGGTTTAACATAAAATCAGCTTCAGCACACTTCTTCCAGAACTGGTTAGTTTTTTTAACACGTCGATTTACCTGTAATTATATTCTGATGACACCAGATTTACCACTTTGTTACCTTTAATCCAGGAGATCTACAACATTTTGAAAAACTTGATTTTTAATTTTTTTTTAGATAAATCACAAAATGTTTATATTTTTTCTAGCAAATTTTAAATTTTCAATCTCAGAAAAAAAAATTCTAGAAAAATTTGCAGAATTATTGCAAAATTCCTAGTCCTAGTCACAGATTCATCAGTTTTATTATTTCTTTTTATTTTAATGTATTGATTTTAAATTTTCAGTTTTTTGCTTTTAAAATAAACTTTTATGTCTGAATGGAACCAAAGTGGCAAAACTGAGTGAATCTGAGTTCAATTTAAACTCCAGTTGCTTTGCAGACAGAGAAACTTGAATATGATCCTCCTGCCTTATCAAATATTTGAATAAAAGTAGAAAACTTTCAAGGTTTCTTCAGGTTTTTGTTTTTATTCGACATAAATTTCAAGTTTTTAAAGCTTGAATTTGAGTACATTTTGGATTTATAGACACATTAAATGCTCTGTTCAGCTGCTTAATAATCACATATTTATGATTTAAGTGAATAAAGTCAAAGTTCTGGATGTTTTTCAGCAGCTGTTTGTTTGGGCCAACCAGAACCTCCGCATGTTCCCGCTGAACCCGACCCGCTCTCACCTCCTCTGTGTTTGCTTTACCTGCAGCTGGTTCCGGATCAGAGTCCGTCCATGACCTGACCCAGAGAAACGTCCAGAACCTCCTGGAAACCCCGACCGGGTTCTGACGGGCTGAGCAGGTCCAGTTCCTGTCCGGATCCGCTCCGGTTCTGGTCCGAGCCTTGAGAAGTTCACAGCTGACTGGGAGGTTCTGCTGCTGCTAAATAAATCCCCAACGACCACCTGCTGCACGACAACTGTCCTCACACACAAACACAAACACAGAGACACACACACAGACACACACACACACACACAGAGACACACACACACACACACACAGAGACACAGACACACACCACACACACACACACACACAGACACAGACACACACACACACACACACACACAGACACACACACAGACACACAGCGACACACACACACACACACACAGACACACACACCACACACACACACACAGAGACACACAGCGACACACAGACACACACACACACAGACACACACACAGAGACACACACACACACACACAGACACACACACACACAGAGACACAGACACACACACACACCACACACACACACACACAGACACACAAACACAGAGACACACACACACAACACACAGAGACACACACACACACACATACACACACACAGAGACACACAGCGACACACAGACACAGACACACACACACACACAGAGACACACACACACACACACACACACACACACACACACACACACACAGACACACACAAACACAGAGACACACACACACACACACACACAGACACACACACACAGAGACACAGACACACACACACACACACATACACACACACAGAGACACACAGCGACACACAGACACACACACACACACAGACACACACACACACAGACACACACACACACACACACAGACACACACACACACACACACACAGACACACACACAGACACACACACACACACACAGAGACACAGACACACACACACACACACAGCGACACACAGACACACACACAGACACACACACAGACACACAGCGACACACACACACACACATACAGACACACACACACAGAGACACAGACACACACACAGATATGCTGACATCTATTTTTATTCCAGAAGCTGAACTCTGTTGGTAATATCAGTTGTTTCTCTAATAATTTATTTACTCTGACAGATTAAAATCTGATTTAATCTGGAATAAATCTGAAGGCTTCAGAGTAAAGACAAAATGTTTATTTTCTGCATTAAAATTTGATTTTATTGAGGAAAAACCCAGAAAAACCCAGTAAACCTGAAGCTCCAATAAACAATAATAATAAATCAATAAGAGGAACCTGGGCTGCAGTAGCTGCGGCCAGGCAGCAGGGGGCAGCACCGCTCTGCTCCAGCAGGGGGCAGCACCGCTCTGCTCCAGCAGGGGGCAGCACAGCTCCGCTCCAGCAGGGGGCAGCACAGCTCCGCTCCAGCAGGGGGCAGCACCGCTCTGCTCCAGCAGGGGGCAGCACCGCTCTGCTCCAGCAGGGGGCAGCACCGCTCTGCTCCAGCAGGGGGCAGCACCGCTCTGCGCTCCAGCTGCAGCCAGGATGCAAACAGAAACACCTGAAGCTTTTATTTATTTGTAACGCAAAGTTCGCGGCGCTGGATCGACGGCGGCCCCGCAGGGTCAAACAGGTTAATTCCCCTGAACGCGGGGCCCCTGCACGCCTCGCCGAGCAGCTCCGGCTCTTTGTTGGACTCCAGGGTGGGAAGAGGAGGAGGGACATAAAAACGGAGCGGACGGACCGGGACGATCCACAGAACCGGAGCAGCGGGACCAGCATGGAGGTGAGGCGATTCTACCAAACCCTCTGACCTTACTGAAGGTTTATTAAAAATGACAACATTTAACATTTCAGATCTGCCTTAACTGTAAAGATTCAACATTTCAGCTCATTTCAGACAAAACACTTTTTATGGAATGGAAGTTTGATCTCTTTAGTTTTAGGATTTTAAAACAATTTCATCTTAAAAACAGGTTTAAGATGCAAACTGAAAACTTACATAAAACAGATTTTTCAGGAACGAGCTGCTGGTTAAAAGTCTGATTCTTTGTCACTTTGTTGATGATCAGAATCAGGTTTAGAGATTCTGCTGCTGAAGTGGATTGAAAAGCGGCTGATTCATCAGAGACGATTCATTCTGCCCTCCATTATTCAGAATGAATGGATTCTTCAGACAAGTGTGTCCAAAGTGAGGAGCGGGGGCCATTTGTGGCCCCTACTGTTATTTTGTGGGGTCATGTGGGATAGAAATTTGCCTCATGAGGTTGTTGATGCAGATAGAAACCTGTTTTCACAAAATGTTAGTGTTCATCTTGTAATAATCAATCTTTTTGCTTTATGTTCACAGTAAATGTTGCATTTATCCATCAACTTCTGCAATTATTTACTATAAAAACTTTTTCAAAAATAAAACGTTACCTAAATTAATTTTTTATTGCCAAGAAAAAAACAAAATCTTTCCTAGTTGTCTTCAGTCCAGCTATAAAAGTTGTGTTTCATGTCTCTGCTGAGTTTGGACCGTCTTGGTTCTGGTTCTGCCCCGGTTCTGGAGCTGTAAGGCTAACAGTCTTGGAGGTTAAAGGTCATGTTTTTCTTCCAGGATGTTCGGTGCGGTTCCTCCCGGGGCGGGCAGGTTCGGGATGCGGTGCACTGTTGTCATGTTCCTCCAATATTGCACTCGTCCCGGCCTCCCCGGCCCAGGGGTCGCGACCCCACGCTCGCCTCCAGGACAGGTGACACGACGTCCGGCGGCTTCAGGAGAAACGGCAACGATCGGCTGATGGTTTGTGAACAACTTCAGAAAATCAAACTTTTCCTGCGAGAGTTTGAATTTTTTTAGTTTTCACTAAAAAAGTCTTTTTGATTCGTTAAACCTTAGAAGCCAGTTCTCCTCACCACCACACCGTCGGTTTAATGCGTGGAACCGTTTCTTTCTGCATGGCTCTCTGCCCAGGGCGGCTGCAGTTTAATGCTTCTGTTTTATGCTGGGTATCAAGAAAGTGCTGAGTTTAAATCCTTTGTGATGAACAGAGCTAAATTAAAGGGCTACTTCTCAGTTTCTCAAAGAATCTGGAGTTAATTTGATCAACTCCTGTTGAGAATCTAGAAATTTAAACAAATTTAGTGCATTTGAAATTTCTTAGACCTTTATGTGAACTTTAAAATCTTTTTAATGTTTTTTGCACCTGGAATGAATTATTCAACACAGTGGTGAGCACACTTCCACTAATAGCGCAGCTAACGTCTCATTTAGCGCAGATTGACATTTAGCACAGTTAGCTTCATCTAAATATCTTTTCTGGATAAATTCTAACATGCTCTTTACTTGGCTGCTTTGTTATAATGCTTTAGCATTAGTTTGCGATTAGCATTAGCTTCCATTAAATACCATGGCAGTGCAGAGCTTTAGAGTTAGCACAACTCATTTTTAGTTGTCACTGCCCACCACTGGTTAAATCAGTTGTTTTTACATTTCTCTGGAATATTGCTGAAGTTTATAAATAATTAGTATTGAGAAGCTTTTGTCTCAGAACTTTGGTTCTGGTCTGGTTCTGTTTGAGAGTCAGCATCTGAGAATAAATCCTAAAAAGCGAAGGGGCCGTTGTGTTGGTCGTTTATTAAAAACATAAAACATGGAGGACTCTTTGATTCCAGCTGATTAGCTTCATCCTGCTGTTCTTCTTCTGTGGTTTCAGAGTGTGAAACTGGTATTGATGACTAGATGTGACATATTCAAACTTGTTTCCACCATGTTGCCTCCTCCTGGGCCTGAAGTTCAGTCTGCCTCCAGATTTGTTGTTTCCACTGCAGGAACTGCTTGACCCGCTCCATGTTGTATGGAGTGACTACACGCATGTTTTACAGTGTAAGCGATGCAGGAAATGATCTCTTCCAGTTTTATTGTCAAGAGTCACAACGTTTTAATTCTGCAAACACAGAAACATGAAACTAAGAAATCAGGCGCATCAGCAGGGAAGATGAGCTGCCAGAGAGGAAATTTATGAAGAAAAACAGTCTCTACCGAGTTCTAGACCCATCAAAACAAAGTCTCTCCTTTTCTTGTTTTGATGATAAAACTTTTTAAAGGGGCAGCGTTACGTGAAATCGTCGTTTTTGATTTTTCCACCATCATAAACAAACCTGCAGTGTTGCCTTGATTCGTTCATGTATCCTCTAATCTCCCTGACAACCATTCGGGGGTGCTTAAACACTTGTTGGGACATAGTCCCGCCTTTGAGACGCAGGTCCTCCCCCACTCAGCTCCTTCAGACTAGCCAGCAGCAATTAGCAAACCTGATGCCACTGCTGAGCTCGTTATTACTCTGGTAAAAACTTTAGAAGGTTAATAGAGGAGTCATGTTGTGATGACTTCCTGGATGCAGAGCTTCAGAAAGAGCAGGAGCTTCTTAAAGAGACAGACTCAATTTCAGTTACTTGATTCTGCTATAAAATTTTGCTTTGTGCCTGGAATGAAAAAAATGTCATCTTTAAAACAAGAAACTTTCTTTGCTTTCACAAGTTTTATTTAGATAAAATAAGCTTTCTTCGTTTTCTGTTTTAAGGAGACAAGTTTTATTTCTTGTCATAAGAAATTTTAGTTATAATGTCTTTTTTATATTAAATCTTCTCAGTGATGAGCTGAAAACTCCAGTCACGTTTTTTATAGCTAACGACTCATTAGTGACACCTACAGGGCGTTCAGGAAATAGTTATTGTTAGGTTTCAATACGTCTCTGGCGACGTTTTGACTTATTTACCTGCGTATGAAAGCCGGTCGCAGAGAGGAGTCTGGAAAACGCTTTGATTCATGAGCTCAGACGCTGGAGACGCGTCGTCCACACGGTCATGTTTTATTTGGAGACGGTTAACAAAATGATGGTTGGATTTTCAGTGACAGAAGCAGAAACAAACTGGACCTCACAGACCTTTGAGTCTTTTTCTGTCATCAGGACAGAAGCAAACATGGTGGAACATCTCCTCTCCTGATGGTAGCAGATCGGGTTATTTCACGGAAACAGCCGAATCAAAGGGCGAAAACGTTGAAGCTTTACAGCAGAGCCGAGTTCAGACCATGGAGTGAGAAGGTGGAAACACTGGAGACTGGTTTCTGTTTCTCCAGCTGCCGGTCCGGCGCTCGGCTCCCACAGAGCCGCCGTGTCTGCGTCCGTCTGCCGCTCAGACATGGATGTG